ATGCGTTTTTAGTTTCTCAACGATGTCAATAAAAGTCAGCTCATTTGAAAGGCATTTTATAAGCATTCACTTGCGGACATATAAACTAGTATAACATACATTCGTACATACTTTTATGACATTCATCACTTCTATAGTTATTATGAGACATTAGCAGTTGTTTTTGTACGCCAATGTCAGCTGCAACTACACACACATATTTGTGTGCTATTTAATTTTTATATTTTTGATTTGATTAAACAATTTCGAAAATGACTCATCACCACTTTAATTCAATTAAGTTAGTTTCATCACCAAAAAGAAAGTGAGCAGCAACACAAAATAACTGTATATTATTCATTAAATTCTTTCACAACACTGTTATGAGTACTTCGAAATTTCTCGCGTAATTTTCGTTGTGACAAAATGTCACAAAAAGCAATTCCAAAAACAAGAAACACAAAAGCAGAAAATAAATCGCGTGTCGTCGCACCTAATAATTTGATTCCATTCCATTTCCATTACCCAAACTTCGCATTCCGTCGCAAAAGTGATAGCTAAAGCAACGTAGATTATATTAAAGCTCAATTTCATGAACTCTGACACACAGATTAGATGTGTCGAGACACATACATACATGTGTCGCATGTGTCATAATATTGAGTAACTCTTTGTCTACTTTTCTCCTGTTTTGTTGTTGTTATTCGCACCGCAACATGTTGATGGGGTTATCGATACTTTTCTTTACTATTTCTGACACACTTCTTATTATTTATAGAATGACTTGTAAGGGAGCTATAGAATATAGTAATCCGATTTGAAACATTTCTTCGGAGATTGTGTCGTTCCTTGGATTATAATCCACGCCAAATTTCATGAAGATATCTCGTTAATAAAAAAATTTGCCATTCAAGGACATGTATTTGATCGATCAGTTTGTATCACAGTACAGTGTATATACTATAGAGGTCTGACGTGTGCAAGAATATATATCGATATATATATTTGTATATTTTATAAGGTATGTGGAAAGCTATATATTTAGTGTTTGATGGAGCACAACAAAACGTCGGACAACAAAATTCAAGTATTGAACGCACTTTAACAGTATTGTTGTTGTTGCTGTTGTTAGAAACACATAAACCCGTTTTGATGGTATGATACCAAAAAGTTGTCATCGTGAATGTCTATTGGGAAGTTCCGGAATTAGTCCTTTTCGACAGTGTTGAGTCATACGGAAAAGCTAACATCCCTTTGGTTTGAAGGTTGTTAAAAAATCAATATCACATAGATCCTGTGTAGAAGATACAGGCCAACTGATATGTTCGTATTGTTAAAAAATTTACACTATTTAGTCTTATTATTCAACTTACTAATTCAACAATGAATATAGCGATCTTCCAATATAATTTTTGTACCCTGAACAGCAGGGTATATTATGTTTTCCACGAAGTTTGTAACACCCAGAAGGAAACGTCGGAGACCCGTCGGATATATACATAAATGATCAGCATGATGAGCTAAGTTGATTTAGCCATGCCCGTCCGTCCGTCTGTATATACGCGAACTAGTCCCTCAGTTTTTAAGCTATCGGTCTTTTCTCACTAAGAAGCTGCCCATTTGTCGCAACGGCCTTTTTCGAACCACTATAGCATATAGCTGCCATACAAACTGAACAATCGGAGTAAAGGGCTTGCATGGAAAACTTTTTCATTTGACGAGGAATCTTCACGAAATTGAGATATCAGAACTGTAAAAAATCTTGGGAGGCCAGCTGCTGAGAATACGTTTAATGCAGACGAAATTCCAAGCCCAGTCCATGCAATTTTGTCATCGTTTGATCGCTTCATACAGTGCAAGAGGCAGATCCTTTTTAAGCAAGTACTATTCTATTTTTTAATGATTTTGGATGATAAAACTCAACTTTTTCCTGAAGAAATCTGAATAAATATTCGATATAGATACGTATTTATAATTCTACTCAAGTTTTCTGAAGCTCTCTTCAAAAGTTTTGAAGACTTGACAGGTACAATTTTGTTAGGCCCCAACGTTTCAACGATTTTCAACATTATTTTTATATGTACAATAGTATATACGCGACCGTATATGTAAATAGAAATATTGGAGGCATTATGTTTTCAAAGAGCGATAATGCATTTTCTCACATACTTTTAAGCATATGCATGCATTAGTTTCTGCTTATTCATTTGCCACTTTTTATTCCACTTGAGGCTTGCCGTTTGTTTTCTTCTTAACTGCTTACATACATACTTTGTACCTTTTCCGCTTTTCGCTACAATTCCCTGCTAAACCTTTTGTTTCACTTGCGTGAGTACGTTTGTGTGTGTGTGTTAGTGAGGTTAGACGTATGTAGACAATATAAAAATAGAAAGTTCAAATATGTACGGGTATGCAACGCTGTCAACAGAAAGCCAGAGGCAAGCATGCGAATGAATAAAGCACAGCCAGGCAAACGCTTAAGTACCACTGACGACACACGCCTCGTGAGCAGCGAGTAATTTTCAGGCTTTTTCAGGGTTAGTGCACTTGACTGCATTCTTTGCTTTTATTTGAGATTTTTGTTTTGTTTTTATTTTTGCTTCTATCAGCGCTGGCTTTGCGTTGCTCTTTTTCATGAGAATTTCTGCAACTTATTTCAAATTGCAGGATTTACTAGTTTTATTGTTTTTATTTTCATTCTTTGTGTGTGTTTTGAATCTTTGTCTTTTATGAGTATTCTTTTAGCAGGGACTTAACTTTGCTTTTTACTTATTGGCTGGGTTTTTCACTTTTATCATATTTTTTTATTTTCAGATTTTCTGATTTATAGTTTTCTGTTTTGTATCTCTTTACTTTTTATTCCTGTTCATCCACTTCTTTATTTAGTTCCACTTAAGTGCATGTATTAAGCTTCTTTTTTGACTTTTTGTCTTTATTTACATATATCTTATTCCATTGTAATCTTAGTCGTCAAACTGCTCTTTGTTATGATTTCATTTCATTCTCACATATATACATGTTTTTGTTGTTATGCTTTAGTTCTATCATTATTCAGCTCAAATGTTATTCAATTACTCGTAAATATTTTCTTATCTTCTGAAAGCAGGAGGTAACACAATCCGATTGCCATAATTTTACAAAAAAAAGTAGAGCGCATCAAAAACGCAACCCTGTGTAATGAAGGTTTAATATTCGTTTGTTGATATTCTGTAACACTCAGAATGAAACGTTGGAGTCTATAAAGTATATAGTATATAAATGATCAGCGTGACCAGCTGGGTCGATTTAGCAATGTCCGTCTGGCTACCTACATATACGCGAACTAGTCCCTCAGTCCCTTCCAAAAAAATTGCTCATTTTTCGGAACCGCCATATCAATGTCAAATACATATTTGTTTTGACAGCGGTTTTGACAAAATCTAACCTAATAATCCTCTAGAAAATATTTTACCTATATAAAATTCAAATACAATTGCGCCTTATAGGCTCTGTTTACATATAACATATATAGGTACATACATACATACATATATGATACGTGGGTTAGAAAAGTAGTCTCATCGAACTTAAAATATAATATACAATGTAAAATCTATCTCTACATATAAATGTTATGATATACCAAATCTTTATTTTCTTTGGTTTCCTGTTTCACTGCTAGTTTAGTACTTATTACTCGAGTACTCACTATTTATTATTGATTTACAATATTGCTAACCAATATTCACGACTTTTTATTGTATGCCATATTTTACATTTGCTATTCAAGCGCTAATCACAAAAAAATAATGATCAACTGTTTGCTTGGCTTGGGCTCAGAATGTGAAATAGGCAGATAATGATCTTATATATAGCTATATCATACATATACAAACCTATACATCTGTATGTAACATAGAAAACACAATGTTGAACTTTGCTTGCCATGGCGTATGAGCAATGATCACCATTATTATAAGCACTCAGTATAAGCAGGAGTGGCATGAAACCACTTACTTCGTGATATTATTTCTTGTGCCACACATAACAGTTTCTGGATTGTTTGAGTTACGTTGCGTTCGCGCACAATTTGTCCCAAACAATCGATATCTTCTGTCTGCTTGACCGCGTTGCTATTGCAGCTGGCCTGCTGTTTACAGCCAACTGTGTTTGCTATCTCTTTGCCAAATTTTACATCCATTTGATTAAGATTTCCCATAGCCTCTACTTTTTTTCATCCACGTTAATTTCTTCTCAGTTCTGCTACTGTGGGCGATAGTCAATGTGCGGATAGTGCGTTCGTAACACTCAAGGCGATTGAGTGTTTATGATGGCATTGCTTCTTGAACAACTTCTTGCAACGTTACTTGAATATTGAGGAAATAGCATTAATTTTCGTCTAAAGACGAATGGACGGATGGATTTTGTACAAACCATTTTTTATTATGAAATATTTTTTATATAGAAATATACTTTTTCTTCAGTCAAATAATGGGTGTTAAAGTTATTGTTCTTGAATTTTGATGGTAAAATATTTACTTCGAATAATTGTTTTCGATTTTAACAGTTTGAATATTTCTATTCGTCGATTAAAAGTATCGAATTTCAGATTTATTGCTTCAAAACAGAAGGATTGAAATATTTACAAATGAACCTTCTTAGGTAAACACCGCGCTACAAACTCGGTCTTATTGGCTATTTTAGTGTTTAGTATTTAAATTTTTAGTTGGTTTCTGAAATTTTGTATTTAAAAGATTTTGTAGGGTTGCCACCTGCTTGAAAGTGTTAATTTGATAAATATATTTTTTGTAATATTAGAGTCAATCTAACGAGGTTTAAGTAAACATTTTTTTTAAGAATTAAATAAATAAAGCAAATGAAGTGTTGGAATATAGTAATCAAACTGAAAGGTTTATGAAATATTTCCAACAAATTGCACATCAAACGAAAGGTTATATTATTTTTACACAATAAAAACATTGCTATCTAAAAATTAGTTTACATTTTATAACTAATATACCTATTTCTATTTTCTTTTGTAGGAAATACATAAACAATTGAGAATATTGATGTATTATTGGTTTTCGGTGAGTTATTTTTTAAATGAAAGAACTGATAGTTTGCATGTACATATGTAGATATAGATGTATAATTTTGAGGCTGATTATACATATAAAATTAACGGGCAGTCCTATGTAGTGTTTTCGCCTTAAAAAGTTGAATTTTGTGAGTTTTTTAAACACAACTACTGTGTAAAATGTTTTGAGGATATATTTATACCTTATTAACGAATATACACAAAAAAATGTCTAAAGAAATTAAATATTTAGCGAGTTATTCGCTATTTTCGCGGTTGCTGCAGAAATACAAAAAACTTAAAAGGAGTATTAATATTATAGATAAGGTATTGCCTAAATAATAATCTACGATTGTTAAAAAATTAAATTTTGCAATATGGCGGTCTTTGAAAAATATTTTGGATTTTGCTCATAAATGAGATGTTTTTTTAGCCGTTAGTTATATTTAAAATAAGCAGAAACAAAAATGATGTTTTGTCTTCGAGCCAATTTGAAAAATGTAGTTTAGAGAAAAAAGCGTTAAAGATAAACTGAGCTGATTGAACTGATCGGCTACAGGTTAGAAGGCTGTAACTTTTACTGTGTTATTTTTTTAGGTATAGACTATCAGACTATGTAAAAATGTTAAATGTTCTTTTTTACGCTGACTGTGCTCCTTAAAGTTGTGTAGGCGTTTTGGATATAAACTTAATTTAGTCAATTTAGGTATTAAATATACGAATTTCTGTACAAAAATAGTCTTTCGATTTTTACAAAACGCTAAGATACTTCAGTAGCTTTGTTATACTCTTGCAACATGTTGCTACAGTGTATACTAGTTTTGTTCACCTAACGGTTGTTCGTATTATCTAAAAATAATCGAGTTAGATATAGGGTTATGTATATATAAATGATCATGATAACAAGACCAGATGAAATCCGAGTGATTGTCCGTCTGTCTGTCTGTGCAAGCGATAACTAGAATAAAAATTAACATAATGAAACTTAATATACGTGTTTCTCGGCAAAAAAGGTGAGGACGAGTTCGTAAATGGAAGTAATCGGACCACTGCCACGCCCACATATCGCCATTAAACGAAAATTATTAATAATTTTTTTTTTTATTAATTTTTGCCATCCTTCATTTAGTAAGAACGATAATTCAGCCGAAAAATCGAAACGAAAGTTCACTGCGATAAACTTACTTTAATAAGCAAGATCCTTCATCATAATTCCATCTAAAAATATAAAAACAACCTATAACGACGTTTGTTATGTATGACAAAATACTGGATATCTCCCTTGAAAGAGCTGCGACGATTTATTAATTATTGTTTTGCTAGCTCAACACAGTTACACATTTTAATTGCTTCATTTATAGTAATTTCTAAAAACCTAAAGCTATTATAAATCCTACAACTTTTTCTACTCATCTGTCAATTCAGATGTCTTTCTAAATTTGTTTTTATCTGCAAACAAAAATTATTTGGAAGAAAGACCAATCGTCCACTGAAATAATTTGTCATCCAAATTATTTTATTACGCACTTCGCATTTATTCGAAAATAATATTTTCATTGTATAGTTTATTATAATAGTAGTTAATGCATACCATAGCCACAGGAACGCGTGTCTGGATCTACTAATATATAATGTATATAATCAAAAGCTCAAATTGCATTACAAGTCTCCAATAGGGATCAGAATTACCACTCTAGTAACAAATGCATATGTAAACGTGTGAAATGCTTTGTTGATATGGTTTCAACAAAGGAGATTATATCGAAATTGACATTCATATTCTTATTATTGCAAGTATTATATTAGCCTCGGACTATGTTATTTGTTTCGTAACATTAACAACCATTAATTTAGTCATCTAAATTTAATAACCCGATAATTAGTATGAAGTACCTATTCATTATTTGCATGTGTATTAACATCTAGATGATATTATATTTATGTACTACGCTAAGCACTTAAAGTGACTGACACATATAGACATATGCACATTTGTATTTATATAATAAGATAAATGGGAGAGTTCTCATATAATTAGTAATTTTATTGTCGGTCAAGTGGCTTTTAGAAAAAAACGTTGCACGATATGTGCTTCAATATAACATAGCATAAACGATAACAATATCAGAGTAAATTGTTGCAAATGTTCACAAGATTGACAACCAAGTTAAGTAATTATTTTTATGTGGTTTATAAGCATTAACGGAATACTTTTGTAGAATGTCATCTCACTTTTGAGATACGTAGATTTCGTAGAAAACGTGATATTTGGAAAACGTGATATTTGCAGAATAGCACCAATGAACATATCGGGAATAAACCTTGCAAAAATAGTGACTTCAAGCCTCCAGCCTATAGCTGACTTTTTACTGAAAATATCGGTCAATGTGTAAGATATATAATGAAATTCGGAGGGAATCCTTTACTGATAATAGTATGGATGTGTGTCAAAAATGAGTTGAATCCCTTAATCCCATATAACTAATAAAAAGATTTTCGAACTTCCGGCTGACTTTATACCGCATATATCGGCAAATATCTGAGTTATCTTAGTAAAGAGTGGGTGAGCGTGTTTTTCCAATAACAGTGTATTTTTGAGCTTAAAACGGAGAAAATCGGGTGAAAATTGCCCTAGCCCTCATCTTACTAATATTAGGATGTTCAAACATCCGGTTGACTTTACTCCTTATATATTGGTTATGGTATGGGAGGTACCTTAATGAAACTCAGAGAGCATCTTTTTCTGTTATTAATATGTAGTAAAGCCAAAAATAGATAAAATAGGGTCAATACTACCCTTATCACCCATAATATAAAATTTTCAAACTTTCGGTTGGCTTTATGCCGTATATATCCTTCAATATGTAAAATGTCTCATTTGACGTGAAGTAAAATATACATAGCAATAACCCTTGATTGTATTCCATTCACGATTTCGTCGAATAATAACGCTGAATTCGTTCGCAACATTTTTGAATATAAAGTTTTGCCACACCACCTATATAAAAATGTTCGGTTACACCCGAACATAGCCTTACTGGTTTTGCTTCAAATTCAAAACAAATTTCATACTACAATTTTCATTACTCACTCAGCGTTGATTTTTAACTTAATTTCCATAAATTAAAAATATGCCACCGTTATCCATCGCCATCTTCACCGTAGTACGAGCGTCATCAGCCTACTATATTCAAATTACTTATTGAATATTTAAATTTCATTTTCAATTAGACCCTTCATGGCGCTCGGCTCGTATGCTTCCCACACATCCATACATGTGGCTTTCACCCCTTACCTGATCCGATCAACACTTTCCGAAAGCGATGAGTCAGTGAAGAAAATTCCTTGGTCAATATTTGCATAAATATTTAATTAAATCAGCCATAAGAGGATACTCAGAAATACAAACACTGTATGTGTGTAGGTATGTGTATTTTTAATTTTATATACAAGAGAATAAAGTTACCTACATAAGTTTTCATGTATACGAGTATGTACATACATATGTCAGCGAATAAAAGATTATATTTTACAAACCTTGAATCATAGCCTCTTTCACACATTTAACAGTATGCGTTTGTATTTATGGGCGTTTGGAGTATGTACTTTAATCTTCAATTTCAGCTTTGATATATTTAATAACCGTTTATAATATTTTTTCGACAATATGTGTTCATACATAACCACAAAATTGTTTAATCTATTTGGAAAATAATGAACTTATATGTTCAAATGTTGTTATTATACTTGTATGTGGGAGAAAGATCGTTTTTTAAATTGGTGTAGCACACTTTTGCTTACAGTATTTTAATAAAGAACCTAGTTAAAAATGAAATTATATGATCTTACTGTTTCATCTGATCCTAAAATATCATCTATAAAAATAATAATGCTGAAAATTGCCTTTAGATTTTTATATCCAATATCCAAAGAGTCAAAATAGGTACGTCCAGTATTTAACGCTTTAACTAAACTTATATAGAAAGCTTCTCTCCTATACATGTTTCGATTTAAGACATTACAAGCGCTTCACGTATCCCATTTAATTTTTCTTCAGCTTAATTTAGTTTTTATGTTTTCAAGATTGCCATGAAGCATTATTTCATTAAAGGTGACATCGAATAAATTATCCTAGTGCGACAGCCCTAACTTATTTACTTATTCTGAATTACGTTACCTACATATACATACTTTCAAATGCGAACTACTTTTGTGAAAATTAACATATGTTGCTGAAATTGCCTATAATTGTACATAGGTTATATACAAGTACTTATGTACATGCATCAGTAGCCATATTAAGGTTGTTAAGCTCTTTAGCCGTCATGATTGACAGGTGTTGAACGCAATTTGCAATTTCTTTTTCACTTTTAGGATACTTGAAAAATTTATTCACTTATGGTAAAGTTCGTTGTACATGAACATGTGCTATTAGTATGTACTGGTGAACAAGTAACTCACAAAAGTCTATGGATATCCACGAATCTTTTGTTTAAAATATTGGATTGTTTATTTTCTAAATTTACGCAAAAGATTTTTTACATCTAGAGACATAAATAATTATACGGAAGTATTGCATTTATATTCTTTGCGAAAAAGTTCTAGTCGTTTAAATTCTTCAAAATTTCATCATCATGAGTATGTGTTCGTGTTTGTTGATTCAATTAAGACCGTCGTTAAATTTCTGTTTGGGGTTGATTTTTACTCTGGTGCAACACGTCGTATGAGTCACATTTAGTTTACTTAAATACTTGAGAAATTTGTTAGACGTTTTGATTTGCGTTGATTTTAGTCCAACTAAAGCTAAAAATCTTGCTATCTGTGTGGTATTGCTTGTAAAAACATAATAAATTTCCTAAACAGTTTTGGCCGTCTATAAGGTTCGTTTAGGTTAAATAGGACAGACTGTTGTGGTAACTGTTTATATTCGATTATTTGCAGAAAACGTATTCGATTTGGGCACAGCCACATTTGCAAACTTCAATTTATTTCTATTCTATCATGAAAATA